CTGCGGCTTCGGTGCAGAGCGATCCAGGCCTCCGAAAGAAATGCACAAGAGGCTGTTTTTACAAGCCGAGAACCGACACACACGATCCCTTCCCGTACAGAAATCGAAATAGGGGAATTGGGGAGAGTGGGGGATTCAAAGCATGCATTGTGCTGCCAGTCCAACTCTTCCTGCTGTTGTTTGGTCCCAAGAGTTTTAAATAAGGTCACTTGGCAGGAAAAGAGCCAAGCCACAAAATGTGGTGGCACGTTGGTCTTCCATCTCCGCGTCTCCAGCGCTGGGTGGGTGGGATTGGCCTCCAGAAGAGGAAGGGGCAGCATTGAAGGCTGGCCTGTTTCTTTTTAAATTTTAAAGTAGGTATTATTTTGTGATGGTTTTCAGAACCCACATTATTATTCTAAAGAGGCAGGGGGTTTTTTGCAGCCAATGTGGTCTTTTTAGACTTCCCTGCTGGATGACAAAATTTTCTGGCATTTCCCTCCAATGCATCAACTCGGCTTCAGGGCCAGCTGGAACAATGCAGTCCCTTCCTTGGCCCTCCACAAGTGGCAACAGCTGTCCAGTTACACCCCGCCAAAAAATCTGTCCATCCATCAGTTTCCATCGGAAAAATCCAAGTCTTCCACCAGGTCCTCTTCTCCTCTTGCCAGCCGTTGCAACTCTGCCCGAGGCAGCGGTTTCCGACGTTGGTGACTCCGTTGGGGCACGGCCCTCTCGCCTCCTGGAGAAGGAAGAAAAACAGGGGTGTCAATCCAACCTCAACGGGGAGAGGAAGGGCAAAAAAAGGGTGCTAATTAATCATCAGTGCTAATTAAAGGATCGTCTGCAGGGCACAGGAGGGGGCAAGATGGAAATGGGCAGGATACAAGTTTAATAAGTAAAGCAATAAATAAACCAAAGCACCTGGGTGTTTAGAATGGGGATGGAGGATCAAGGAGAAGACAATTTTTATTTCCCCTTTCCCCCCATTTTGTTGGGGGGACGGGGGACAAGAACTCTATAAAGGCTTCCAAAACTCACATCCTAGAAATAAGGGGGGAATTGGGCTCCTTTCCAAATGTTTCTGGGTGACCTGTTGCAATCTACCGAGGTGAATTTAGAAGCATGCGCTTCCCTCTTAAAACGGGCCAGGGTGTTACTTCTTTAAGTTTATATGCGTCCCTCGCTTAAGCAAGAGATATTTTCGGGCTCAACTGTGGTCATAAGTCAAGGACTTGCTATATGACATTAACTTCTACTTTAAAATGGATACACTCCCTTCCCAGGCCATGTTTCCATAAGGACTGCTAATAAAATAACCAATTTCCAAGTTTGCAAAGCTTTTCACACACACAATACATTTAAGTCAACTTTCCAACAGGCCAAATGATCCATAAACTGCAAAAAAACAACCACCACACAACCCACCATCCCTTGGACAAGGCCTGCAAGAAGAAATGACCCAACACACACACATAGACACACACACACACAGGGCCCCTGGTCCACCTCACCCACCACCGTCCACCTGGCATGGGAGCTCCTGCAAAGACCACCCAGCCCCACCCCTGTGCATGCCCCCCCTCTCCCCCCCCAGCAAAGCCAATGTAACCAAACTCCATCAGGCCCCCTTGCAAAAAAAAAAAACGCCAGCCAGGTGACTAGATCTCATGGGGGTCCCAGGTTCTGCCCAGGACTGGACTGGAAGACCTCCTTCCGGCTCTATTCTGACTGAAAGGGTCGAAGGTCTCCTGCCTGAGCTGGGGGTCAGACTAGAAGACCTCCAAGGGCCCTTCGGATGGATGGATGGATGGAAACCGACCCATTGGAAGGCTTCGGCTGTTGCAGGACAACGGGGGCCCCTCCCGCCTCTCTTCCTTTCCTCTCCCCCCCCCCAGGAAGCAATGGGGGGGAGGGGAAGCAGCCCCAAAGGACCCCCCTCCCCCTCCCCCACTCCTTTAGGGGCGGCCAAACGGGGAGAGTCCCTTCTTCCACCGGCCCCGTTCCGCCTCCTCCTGGCGCGGCTGCCCTTCCCGCCCTCCGTCTCTCTCTCTCTTCCCCCCCTCAGAGAAACCCCGCCAGCCCCAAACGACGCAGGCGAGTCAGCGCCGTTTTCTCCCCGGCCGCCACCCCGAAGCGGCTCCGGTTGGCCAACAGAGGGACGGGACGGGACGGAGGAGGCCTCCCTTACCGGAACCGGGGCCGGGAAACCCTCCAGGCGCCTCCCGAGTTCCACCGTCCTCGGGGCCGTCCGGGAAGGCAGCCAGAGGCCGCTCACAAGCCGCGGAGGCGCCGCTCCAACCGCCATTGCCCAGCAGCTGCGCCGAAGGCCGGGCACGCCCTGCGCAGGCGCACGTGGCTTGCGGGGGTCACGTGCCCGGGTGGGGCGTGGCTTGGCGGCCCTGTCATGGAGTGGGCGTAGCCTGGTGGTCATGTGGCTGGGTGGGCGCGGCCAACTCAATGATTATTTTATTTATATCAACTGTTACAATTCCTTCCCTGCGCCTGCCATAACGAAAAACCTCCAACAGGTGGCAGGCTGTTTTTGCTTTGCAATTTCTGTACTTCACCTGCCATGCGCAAAATGGCCACGAGACGGCGAGCTTTTATTATTAAGTTCTTTCGTCTACCTGCAATGACGCAAAATGGCCACGAGATAGCGGGCTATTATTATTGAGTTCTTTCCTCCACCTGCCATGCGCAAAATGGCCACGAGATGGCGAGCTATTATTATTATTAAATTCTTTCCTCTACCTGCCATGCGCAAAATGGCCACGAGACGGCGGGCTATTATTATTGTTATTTCATC